CGCCTGATTGAACCCCGCAATTGTTGGCTGTCACTTTTTTTGTCAATTAGTATTTCATCCAAATTCCGGCAAGTCCCGACATCGAAAACCACCCCCAAGACCACCAATAGCATTGCCTGCTTCCCCCCACCAAAATACCCAACATTTCTGACTGCAATCGCCCATCGATCACCGTCGCCTCTCCCTTAGGTTTTTGCATTTTTTTCACCCCTTTCTAGCCAAATTTCAGCACCTCGTCGAGGTGCAATCGGTTGGAAAAGGTAAGGGTTTTGGTGAGGAGAATAAGTGGATGTTGATGGTGATGTCCAGGAGGTCCAATGGTGCCGAAATTAGGTCGAATTCTTGGCTTGGCCGAGATCCTTTGACAATTATTTGAGAGAAATTTGAGATATAGGGGTTATTTGGAGAAAAAGTAATGACATTAATTTAAGGATAGGAATCTATAATTTATGAAACCAGGGGTGAGAACCTGTAGATTCGCCAAACCTTGGGTAGGAAAATGCCGTTTACTCTAAATAGAAAAATGATCTAGAACTTTTAAATGAAAAGGTTGCAATTAAAAATGAGCACAGGGTATATGACTATATGTAGATGTAACATGGAGTTTCTAGCTATCACATTACTTTAATGCAAAAACAAATATTTGCTTTGCACTGGTGACGTTCCATACTTGAAAAAATAATATAAATCTTGTATTAACTACGCGCTGAGATCACACACCTCCAACATATCACATCACCGCTGAATTTCTTGATTCTTCTTAATCAGATGGTTAAAATTGGCTTAATAAACAGCTACGTTCTAGATCAATTCGCACATCAATAACACAATTGATTTTTCGAAATACAGGCTTCTCGGTTATTTCTCACGCCCATTGCCTCTTCACAAGTTCACATACACATAGCGCTCTCTCTCTCTCTCTCTCTCTCTTCTTTCTTGAATTCCCTGTAAACTCTCTGTGACAGAGACAACAACGAACCAATGATCTTCTTCCTGGCGGGAACAGACGCATCAGATCCCGAGATACCTGATTTACCATTCTATCCCTTACTAAAGATTTAAAGTTTAAGCGCGTCACCTTCGTCACACCATACGCCTTTCAAGCCAAGCAACCTTTCAATTTTCCATTTCTTCCCGTATTCTCAAGAAAGTGGAAGAGAAAATATGAGAGAGGATTATTCTTATCTTTATTTGTTGAGTTTGACCTTGCATAGAAGTTAGTTAGCCTTATTATTAGTTTTTGTCTTTTTTTGTTTCGATACCTGTGTTCGGTTCTTGTCCGTTGATCTCCCCCCTGCCGGCCTCCAATTCAAGCCGTTGATTTGTCCATCGGGGACAACTTTCCTCTTCTGTATGAAGTTTGGCGGTGGATATTTCTTATCTTCTCTTCCCACTTCAATGGAATTCTCTTTATCATGGTCTCCTCTCCTCTCTATATGTAAGTTTTACAATACAGGGATGTATATATATTAATGAAAGCATACATATACATATAAAATATGATGTAAACGATTTAATTTCCGTTGTGGTTATAAAATGGAGACTAATACAAGTTTTTTAGTGTTTGTGTGTTTTGGGACTACGAAGCAGTGGCTTGTAGCGAGTTGAGGTGAAGAGAAACTCTAATGGGGAAAGATAATGATACTAAATGTGTATTTCCTTTAACAAGTCTCCAAATTGGGTAAGATTTAACTTGTTTTGTGCTTGATTACCAAAGTTTCTGTTTAATTCAAATGAAAATTATATTGTGAATTTGTTCTTTTTGAAATGGTCCTTATCAAGTTAAATTTGGAATTGGTTATCTAATTTGAGTGGAATATCAAATAAGAAGTTGATTTGTGCATTTATGTTGAATTGTTGACAAACTGTGATCATGTGAAATTTATAGTTGGTGTTCAGTGAAATAAACTGGGGTTTAATCTTTAGATGAGTTGGTAAGCTTAAATGTGCCATTTCTGACTCTCAGTTAATGTATTTTGTTAGCTGGTAATTTTGCTACGTGGTCAAGGGCGGAGGTTTATGGGAAGACTTTGATAAGAGAGAGCGATGATGGATCTGTATCTCTTATGATGTTGCTTATGGTGTGGGCCATGAAAATGTTATCCGCATCTTCCTTGTCAAATATATGAGACTAATTTAGATTAAGATGGAACTACTAATGCTAGTTTATTATGCACAAGCATTTATCTTACACCTTATAAGCCACTCTGAAGATGTTTTGAGATATGGAAACTGTGAGGTCTTGTATAGTGAAGCTTAGGTGTGGCTAGTCTATCTTGATGTTGTATTGTTGACATGCTGAAAAATCAGTGTTCTTTGCTACTTGTTGCAGAGATTTGCAGTCTTATCTTTCAGATCTTAGCCTCTTTCTGGCATTTGAAAGTAATAACATCTACTTTGGTGGACAACCGACCATGGCTGGTGGATCTAGATCACGGCCAACACACCTGTGGCAAACTGATGGTTACCAAGGTGGTAAAGTGGCTCTTCATGGAATATTTTCTTTATTCTTTTATGATTGAATAATGAGGTTGCTTTTGTGACAGTCCAGGCTATCTCCTTTTGCAAACACTAAAACACGGAGGCGGGGGAGGCGGAAAGGACAGTGTGTTCCACACCTGGTGTTAGTAAATCAGAAAAGTTTAAGAGGTGGTTTCATTAATTGAGCTGCAACTTTGTCTCGAAAGCGGGCCTTTGCTACCTGTTAAGACGCTTAGAAGCCATTTGCTTTTAGCAGTGAGTTACATAGGACTTGTTATGGTTTTATTGTATTGAAGTTTCATGGATGATGTTAGAGGAATTAACTATTTAAATGAACTTCAGGTACCATCGCTGCTTGTTCTCAATATATTGGTTGAAGTGAAATAAGTATCTCTGTTAATGGTTTTCGTGTCACTTGCAGACTGACCTCTTTGGCCATAGAAGCTAAATTTGCGAAGATGGGAATTGATGCATAGCCCAAGCTGTAAGCTGTCTATCTCTTCTGGTTCTCAGGAAAACACCATGAACTGCTGCAATTGAGAGACTATCTAGAATCCACCATAGGTATTCTTTTGCCCTTCCTGATCTGAACAGAATGAAAAAATGTGTGTGGAGGATTTAGCATCCATAAAGAGTTGTGCTTCAATGTTGATATATTAGATGGATGTGGATATTTTCTAGACTTAGGTTTACTGCCAAAGTTTGCGTCTTTAAGTACCATAGTTGTGTTGCTGAAACTTCCATGTTTTGTAAGCTGTGTTACTCAAACCTCTAGGATGGTCCAACTAGGTCAGTTGCAGCATCTATGTTGAATAGGAAGTCTGTCTTGCATCTGATTTCTCATAAAAATTCCTCTGCCTACTGCACTCATGGTCTGTCCGGCAATACCTGCCTGTTCCTCTGATAGTATAATGATATCTTATTATGGTGTATTCTTACAGCTGGTCTTGCATTCTCTATGATACTATATTGCATTATAAATTTAACCAACCATAGAGGAAGATTTTTCTTCATCAAAGTTGTGCATTTTGCCTTAAAAATCATTGTTGTACATTTCTTCCACACTAAGAAGTAAATATGGTGTGAACATTTGATGTGTCATGAAAACACTTACGTTACATATTAAAGGAGCTTTAAAACAATACTCATTTTTTTTTAACTTGTTAGGAGAGATCTTCTATGATGCTGAAGAAGAATTCTCGAGGGCTACCCCAAAAAAGTGATGATGAAAACATTTGCCGTTAACCAGGTGTGGTGAAAATACTTCTCTCCAGTGCTGCTAGCAGGTTTAGTGCATACGCGGGACTACAGAAAGTAGAACAAATGAGCCCCACACCCTCCCAAATGGACCTTTTAAGAGAAGAAAATAATGAAGTGCAATGGTGATGGATCGAAATTGAAGACTTATTATGCAACTCTGGGACTTGTATTGATCTGATATTGCAGCCAAAGCTACTGAGTACCGTGATGTTCTGATTTATTTAGGTTCAATGACTGTGACCTCCCATTTAAATTAAGGAAAATCATAATGTCTGATCTCCGTTTACTTACTTACTAGAGGCTGGACTCATCTTGGGTAATATTCCTCCAATCATATCCAGGATTTTGCCATCTCTATCGCCCCTGGATGTGCCTCTTGTTCGAGCTTTATATGTGCTGATCTCAGTGTCACTGTTCTAATAGGTTTTTTGATTTATACAAAAATGTCCTGTTCTGAAAGCTACTGCTTCGCGTTTGTGTGGCCCTCTTTTGGATTGGATAGAAATTGGAGATGGTATCAAGAATTAATACTTAGGGACAATGCTATTTTGCACAACTTCAGAAGGCTGTTCAATGGTTTTGGCAATTACACGTACCATTCGGGCTTTTTTTCAGTTGTTACATTACCAATGGCGGAACCTTATGGAGGTTTTAAGCTTCCTTACTCCCAGTGTGGGATACACTTGTTCAAGTGGTGGGAGAGTCTTGTGCGGTCTTTGGGTTTTAATAGGCTCTTCTTGCAGTCTAATTGGGGACCTGATGGAGATTGTATTGTTGCCCTTGGTTAATCATCTCATGTTTGAAAATCGGTAGGTATCAACTACTTTGCTTCTTTATGCTTTTGGTTTCTTTACCACTTACATCAAAAATCAGAACTCTAATCCAATCTCCAATCTTTGTGAAGTGGAACTAAAATCAAGACCCTTGTACAACTACTTGAGCCTTTATCAGCTGCACTAGATGATGCACAATAGATTGGGTTGCTTTGGTCGTTCATTTTAGAGCATTCGCTTTATTTGATTGTAGTGATCTTTGAGACCTGTTATTAACTGTCAAATTTGGATTGTCTGTGTTCAGCAAATTTGTTCTATATCCAATATTTGGATGCTTGGGGAATACTCTATGCCCTATTCGCCTGGTCTTGCACTAGCTAGTTTTGTGCTTTTCATTTGCTGGCATACTGAATTGCTTGGAAATATATGGGGGGCTGTAAGTACGATATTCCAGTTTGCTTCAGCTTCGGAGGCTACGGTGAATGCATATGAAGTTTCATGTGGCGTTCACTTTGGAATGACCTATTCTCCCAGGTTTGAAGATTTGTATAATGCGTTATGGTGATTAGTATGATTTCTATGTGAATGGTTCTCAAACTTCACCAAATCTTTCCAGGTTTTTCGTGCTGTCAGAAGCATATTAAATGGTTTTTGTTGCATTCTTCATGGCCTGCAATAGACATCGTCTCAGGTATTGTGTTTTACTTTGCTTATGTCATTCGCTTTGAAGTTGTTTTTGTTGGTGCAAACACCTGCTTGAATATTTTTGTTCATCTAGCTGTTATTTTTTGGTATGATGCTTTGAATTGTTAATTGAAGTCAGATGTGCGGTATGAGTTCATGCTTGGCACAGATGTGATTACTTGAATTTATTTGCTAAGATTAATTGCACAAGGATTCCGCAAATACAAAGAGGTTGGTCATTGACTTAGGGATTTAGTGTCAATTTGCAATTGAGTTGAAAGATAATTATGCTTGTGTCCTTTATTCAACTACGTAATCAGAACTTAATTACTCTGGTTTTCTTAAAAACTTACTTTATTCTTACAAACTTCTCTTCCATGTCTTGCTGCTTAATATAATGATAGAATAACAACTTTGTCAATGCAGGAATCATCTGTAGTTCTTTATCTTCCGCAAGGGATTACTTTTTCTTAAAGTTACAGTTCTTTGATCCAAGCTTAAGCCTGTACTAATACTTTTTCTTATGTAATGGCTGCAGCATTTATAATCATATGCAGGATTTCATCCAAAGACTGCTTGGTCGAACCCAGAGATCCAACCTCAGAATCATAAACATAATAGAGTAACACGTAAAGATCAAAGTTCGGTAAGTCACTGGCATGTGAGTGCATATGCACCTGTGTTGTAGCACATAGAAGATCTATGAGTTATTTCTTCCAGATGCACAGATTCATTTCTTGAGCTGATTGTGTGCTTATGCTTTTTCAGTCGAGGAACGAAACTTACACGAAGTGAGGTCACATTCTTTTGAGGTTTTAACAGAGGCGATTTTATGTCTCTAGTTCAACAGAGAATGGTGTTCAGTACATTATACGTGACAAACAAAAGAAAGAAAAGGGTAAATTACTCTAGGCAACAAATGGAAGGAGACGGCATACACCTGCGGATTCTCAACATTTTCTTCAAAAACTACCATCGGAAGAGCTTTATCATTCTCTTGCTCCTTCAAGTTTATCCTTTATTTTGATGTAAATAACATGTACAGGAAGCAATTTTTCAAGTTTCATTCTTTTTTTATCGATGGTTGATAATTACAGAAGGAAAATTTTAACACATCAAGACAATAACATCAGAATTGAGATGACAATACATCAGAGCAATGTTTTAAAACCCAACTCGGGGTGAAACCTGGCAAAGCTTCTGGGTCTCGGAACGGTTGACAAAAACTTTTAAAATTAAGCAAATATACCCTAAAAATTCACGTGAAGTCTCTATAGGATAAATTGGTCAAACCGGTTGACAAAAACTGCAAATCTACCGGCGACTGATGCGGTGACGACACCTCAGATGCAACCCCAATGTCCCTGAGTCTATTTCCATCAAAATATAACCAAGATCTGGCTGAAATAGGGTCGATTCGGTCAGATCTCACCGACGTCGACGTCGGCATTCCAGGCCAGATCCCATCGATTCCAGCAACAAACCTCCCATCACCCCAGAATTACTCCCCTTTTCCTTCCGACCAAAACCCACTCACCCACTGCCGTTAGCCTTGTAAATCGTCGGAAAAATCTCATCGTTGCCGCTGTCAGTTTTGTTCGATTTCGGCACTGTTTTAAAAATGAACCGGTCACGTGTCCAGTTCGAGTTAAGACCAAAACCGTTATAATGTAATAAGCCGCTTTAAACCGTTTCAAAACCGGATAATTTCACTGAACGCCGCGGTCCAACCGAACCGAGATAAACGGTCGAGAAACCCCTAAATCCTATACCCCATCGCAGCAGACGCAGCCCTTTCCTGTTTTCTCATTCTTCTCTCTCAGTTTCTTGAGAAAATTTCTCAGCTTGTCTCTGTTCTCTCATCTCTGCAAAAAATTCTCACCTTCTTCTTGTCTCTACGAAAATTTCTTCTGAAATTCCACACAAATCGCAACTGAACTCTGAAATCGGACGACGAGTTCCTCTCTCGCCGGAAATCAATGACGTCTTTCTCCCTCGCCGAAAAATCGACGACGATAGCTCATTCCTCGCTGGAAAATGACCGCGACAGATCCATTCGTGATCTCTGAAATAGGTTCGATTTCGGTCAGATCTCACCGACGTCGACGTTGCATTCCAGGCCAGATCCCATCGATTCCAGCAACAATAACCCTCCCCATCACCCCAGATACTCCCCTTTTCCTTTGACCAAAAACCACCTCACCCCACCGCCGTTAGCCTTGTAAATCGCCGGAAAAACTCATCGTTGCCGGTCAGTTTTGTTCGTTTCGGACTGTTTTAAAATGGACCGGTCACGTGGTCCAGTTCGAGTTAAGACCAAAACCGTTATAATGTAATAAGCCGCTTTAAACCGTTTCAAAAAGGATAATTTCACTGAACCGCGGTCCACCGAACCGACGGATAAACTGGTCGAGAAACCCCTAAATCCCTAATACCCCATCGCAGCAGACGCAGCCCTTTCTCTGTTTCTCATTCTTCTCTCTCAGTTTCTTGAGAAAATTCTCAGCTTCGTCTCTGTTCTCTCATCTCTGCAAAAATTTCTCACCTTCTTCTCTGTTCTCTACGAAAATTTTTTCTGAAATTCCACACAAATCGCAACTGAACTCTCTGAAATCGACGACGACGTCTTCCTCTCTCGCCAGAAATCAACGACGTCTTCCTCCTCGCCGAAAATCGACGACGATAGCTCATTTCCTCGCGGAAAATACCGCGACAGATCCATTCGTGTCTCTGAAATAGGTTCGATTTCGGTCAGATCTCCACGACGTCGACGTCTGCATTCCAGGCTAGATCCCATCGATTCCAGCAACAATAACCTCCCCATCACCCCAGAATTATCCCCTTTCCTTTCGACCAAAACCCACCTCACCCCACCGCCGTAGCCTTGTAAATCGCCGGGAAAAATCTCATCGTGCCCTTGCCGTGTAGTTTTGTTCGATTTCCGGCACTGTTTTAAAAATCAGACCGGTCACGTGTCCAGTTCGAGTTAAGACCAAAACCGTTATAATGTAATAAGCCGCTTTTAAAACGTTTCAAAACCGGTAATTTCACTGAACCGCGGTCCAACGAACCGACAGATAAACTGGTCGAGAAACCCCTAAAACATAAACCCATCGCAGCAGACGCAGCCTTTTCTCGTTTCATCTTTTCTCTCTCAGTTTCTGAGAAAATTTCTCAGTTCTTGTTCTCTCATCTCTGCAAAAATTTCCACCCTTCTTCTCTGTCTCTACGAAAATTTCTTCTGAAATTCCACACAAATCGCAACTGAACTCTCTGAAATCGACGACGACGTCTTCCTTCTCGCCGAAAATCAACGACGTTCTTCCTCCGCGCGAAAATCGACGACGATAGCCATTTCCTCGCTGGAAAATGACTGCGACAGATCCATTCGTTGACGACAGCTCCATTCTCGATCCAGGTAATAACACGCCATTCCTCGATCCACCTTCAATAATCAATAATGATTTCCTTGCAAACTTTATCGGAGCAATGTGTATGTGCATGTATTTCCAGATTATGGGTATGTTGTCATGATTTCCAGATTATGTATTTGAATTCACCCTGCTCCTGCTCCTGTCCTGATTTGTTTTTCTTTTGCTGGCTAAAAGCAGAAAGACTTTTGAAGTGACCTCTGGGCATAAGAAAGTTGTTTCATATGTGAAATCTTGTCAAATGATGAACTTGCTTCTGCATCTACAGACAGCACACTAGGTGTATGGGATGTTAAAGAGAATCTGCCAGTGAGTAAATATTGCTTTAACCAAAATTATCATGTAGATAATCCTTCATTTGAAGTTTGCATGCCCATTTGAAGTTTGGTTTTGGAAGCAGTGAGATCGGGACGAAATTGATAGAAGTAAAATCATGAAGTGCATTTTGTAAATCACAAAAAGGAAACTCAAATTAAGCTCATAAAAGAAGGAAAGATTTTTTCTTCTTTTATGAGCTTAATTTCGTATATATTATGTAGTTAGCAGAACTTTATTGATATACTTTATGTTTTACTTGAGTTATTTTAGTACAACTATCAACCGATTTGTAGTACGTTTGTTGCTAAATACTTATTGTGTGGCATGTATTTCCAGATATTATTGAATTTCGTACTTGAATGTTTATGTTTTACTTTATGTATGTTTGGGATGGAATAAGGACTTAGACAGACAGGATGTTGCATGATGACATAGCAGAATACAACTTGACTTGATTCAAATGATTCAAGCTAAAAACAATACATGCATGAAAATTAGAGAAGAAATAAGTCACAGGAAGAGATGAGACAAATGAAAAGTAGGGAAAAGGATCCTCATGATGTGTGATGACATCACCGGTCTAACCGGTTTGGACCGGTTGAACCGTGACCCAGCAATCAGAAGGGTTGCCCTTCTATCGGTTTTTAAAACAATGATTCCGATCGATTTACTCACCGAAAATCAACTCTTTCACACCATTACATTCACCGGAAAGCTCTTCAAAAGCCCAACATGCCGACAGTAATTGCTAGCCGATCACCACAGAAATCCTAGGGTATTGGATGAATAGGAAAAAATTAAACCGGCCATTGAAGCTTCCGGGTCCCAATTGAACCGACCGGGACAGGCCGAGTTTTAAAACATTGCATCAGAGGGGTCGTATTTACGTTCAACTGGATATTTCAGTCTGCATAGAGGATTATGACTGATTAAAGACTAATCCACATAGAAATTTGATATTTTTAGTGTTACATTCCAAATAACATGATATAATATAGAACTCGCATAATACATGATAAACGAAATTTGAACAGAGCAGGGCGTAAAAAGAAGAGAGAGAGGCCAACAAAATATAAAACGACATATGTTTACTACGGATTCTATTTAATAAGAGTTACAGTCAGAGCTCTCGAATAGAAAGCAAACACTTAAATTAAAAGCAACACCAAGTCACCAGCATAAATAAGTTGTGTACACGCCTCTAGGTACTTAAATCTCCTTAACATACATCCACATAATAGTTTCGCAGTACATATAGATAACTTGCTCTAACAGAGGAGATGTACATCTCAAAGCATTTGCCCCACGGTTTGATGCAGCATGGCATCAATCTCATCACATCTTCCATTTCAAGCTGAAACAAAAACAAAGAAATAAAATCAGTCATGGTACCAAAGATTTAACGAATTTCCACCAAAAAAAAGACAGGAGGGGGGGTTGTTAGTTCAAAACAAAGAGAGTGTAAGCATTTTTTGTATAGAAGCGTGCAGGATACCTCATCAGGGGTTTGCTCTGCTCTGAGACGACGGCCATCAAACAGAAGGCAATCGAATTAAGCTCCACAGATTGTCTATCACAATATGCATTCATAAGCTTCTTCATGGGTGCTCTTTTGATCCTGAAGAAAACCTCATTCCCATCCTACAATCAAAATAAATAAAACTCACATGTAACTTTAATTGAAAGCCAACTAACAAGACAATAAACAGTATTTTCCTCAAAGAGGCATAAGAGCATGTATTACTGCATTGCATGAAGTTCAATAAAGGAGATATGTATCTGCAATTATTAAACAATAAAAAGAAATTTACAATGATCAGGTTTCCAGAATTAGTTTGGCACTGGCAATTAATCCCGATACTGTTAAAACCCCAAAAGTGGTGGTAAGGAATAATATTCCATCTAAAG